TGTGTTGAAGCCTCATTTGACAGCAAGTTTTTTTGATTCTGTCTTCCAGAAGCTGTTCAATAAGTTACATTTCCATGCCTTTTAGGTTAGCACCTCTATCTTACTCAGTATCACTTGGATAAAGTGTCATATGAGCAGCCACAATCAATATAAACATGAAATCCTCTTTTCACATACTATTTACGCATGACATACTTCTCTTCAATATAGCCTTGTCTTTCTGTGTAAGACACTTATGGTTTATTAAAAAATAATATCTCTCAACATTACTATTCTAAGTTTCTGTAAGTATTGGTGTGAGCTTGCTGCCTCCAGTACTCTGTTCAGAGATGATTGCCTGCCCTACAACTACCCCTTCAAGTGCCCCAGGGCTCACTTTGTGCAGGCCAGGCCAGTCTTTGCCCACCCATAGTTACTTTTTCCTCAGATTTGGTGTTTCACTGTAACTTTGTATGCAATATTGCCTTCATATGCTATTAATAGTTAAGTTACTTTAGTACCTTGTAAGATATTCACCCGTGAAGTCTGCCCTGTATTCCACCTTTCCATGGAGCTTGTCTGGTTTTTGTGTAGCTCCACCCTAATGATCTGTGCAGCCACTGCAGCTTCTTGCCTTGTCTGTCACATCTAGTAGTCTTCTTATGTACAGTAGTTCTTCACATCCTGTTTATTCATCTTAATCTCAGGCCAAGGCCTGGTCATCTGCCTGCAGCCAGGATCCAGCTGGCTGACAGGTCACTTCTCCTGACATTGCTCCACTACCCACTGGAGCTGCTGCCTGGGCAGTGAATGACTGAAGGAGCATCACTCCCCACATTGTTCGAAAAATTGAGTCAGGCTGGTCCTACTGCTGCTATGCCTTTTACACCTCTTCCCAGTGTCATCTTGATATTTTTTTATTTTCTTACCTGTTTGTAATTTCACCTCTTTGTCCCCTGCCTGCAAGTGCTGTAAGGACTAGGTGCCAGCTGCTGAGGATATGGAGCGAGCAACCGGAGTCGGGGCAGGAGTGTAGGTGCCCCAAGCCTGTGGTGTCAGCAGCAGTGGGTGGGGGTCTCAGCTCCAGGCATAGGGGCAGTAACAGCATATGCACTGTCAGGGAGGACAGGCAGTGTGTGTCCTATGTGCATCTACAGGTGAGACTGGAGTGACTCAGACCAGTGAGGCTTTTGGCACATCTGGATTGAGCTGCTGGTCACAGCCTGTGTGTCTGTGCTACTGCTGATAGTACAGGCAGACTGTCTAATATTCAGGTGCTTTGACCCCGCATGTATGTCTCTTTGGCAGGTGCAGTTCACTAGCAAACCTCAAATTAGAGTAGCAGTGTGTGGGAGAAGGACTTTTTACAAGGCCATATAGTGATAGGACATGGGGTAATAGCTTTAAACTGAGATAAGTTAGGATTGGATATTAGGAAGAAATTCCTTACTGTGAGGGTGTTGAGGCACATAGTACTCAAAGCTGTGGATACCCCATGCCTGGGAATGTTCAAGGCTGGGTTGAGTGGGGCCCTGAGCAGCCTTGTCCTAGTGGAAAGTGTCCCTGTCCATGGCAGTGGTTGGAACTAGAGGATCTTTAAGGCCCCTTCTAACCATTCTGTGTTTCTATGGTTCTGTGATCTGAGAAGGGGTATCAGGTGGCCAGAGGGCCCTTGCTGGTGCCTGTAAGGTGAGAGTGTGGATCATCTACCTGCTGGTGACTTGCAGCCAGACAGCAAGTGGGAAGCCCATGAGAGGGGCACAAGAGCTATGGCCCAGGCTGAGGGGTATTAGATGGACAGAAGCATATGCTGTGTTGATATGAAGTATCCACAAGTGCTCATTTATTTGTGCATTTTGAGGGGGTGGGAGATGGCATGCTCTCAGTAATGAACTTCAGAAAAGAAGGAAGTGGTCTTGGCTAGCTCTACGAAGTTCATGTTAGTAAACATGAAAGCACTCATGAAAGTGCTACATGCTGCAAAACTGAGCTTCACTACTGGTTGAACCTGTCAATAAGAAAGCAACTCCTATATCTGTGGATGTGGGTGCCGCGCTCCTGCCCCAGATCCCTGGTCTCTCTAGCCCTGGCTAGCTCTTCCTGGGGTGAGAGTGGGCAGTGGAGGCACCCTCCGCTGCTCCCAGATGGGGTTTAGAGGGTGCCTTCGTGGGTCCCTGGGCAGCGCAGGTAAGCCTCGTCGCAGCAAAGAAAGGGCGGATCCAGCTGGGGGCCAAGTCCACTTTATTCGGGCCAACGGGCCAAACATACAGGAACAGCGCCAGCCAACTGGAACCCCGAACGGGGGGTCTGACACTGGGTTATAAACCTTTGGGGAGGGGTAAACCTTTAGGGAGGGATATCGGTGATCCAATGAGGAGAGGGGAAGGGAGTGGCTCCGGGATGGGGTGATCTGACCTGGTCCAATGGGGGAAGGATATGGGAGGGGCCCCAGGCCCTCGTCCAATCACTCGGTGCCCTGAGCAGAAGCTTCCAGATGGAGGGGAAGGAACACCGAGTGACAGACAAGGCACCTGGGAGGAGACAGGGGAATGACTTTGCACTTTCCAGAATGATGGACAAATACTGGAAAGGCGGGAAGGGGGGACCAGGCGGGAAAACAGGGAACAAACCAAGTGGTAATAGGGGTGTACAGGGACAAACCAATGGATAATACAGAAATATTAAAACATATAAATCGCACAACTCCACATGTGGGACAGACACCTCTGGATCTCTGGACACATAGGGCTGGGCTGCATCATCAGGGCAGGAGGAATCCCTGGGCTGACCTCAGAAATGCTGGAGGGGGCAATAATTTATAACATTCCTTAGCATCATTAGAAAGATGGTTGCATAACAGATAATAAATACTAAGATTTTTCTTGTCACTCAGGTGCACCTCAAAGTTGAGAAAACTGTACTGGTAAAAATACCACTATCACTTTTTTCCTATTTTATTGTCTGTTGCTGATGATTAATAGAAACAGAGTAAACATGTATTTATTACAGTAACTTGACTCATGTGACTATGTTTACAAAACCAAGGTTCTGTGGAAGAATATTTAAGTAAAAAATGCTTAGTTTGCCTTAAGTCTCGGAGAAGTGAAGGAGACTATTTATAAAGTTGGGGATTCAAGCCTGAATGGACGGTTCTTGGCCTCATTTTGTATCCTAGGCATTTCAGTGTGGCTTTAATGACTTCACATTCCAAAGTGTAATTCATTCTCCAGTATTGTTCGTGATTTTGCAATGTCCTGGGAATTCTACAGTATTGTCCTATCAAAATTAAACTTCTGACATTCTCATGGAGGGATCACTGAAGTTTGTCTGCCTCTGCCCTGAACCCTGTTGCAGCATTTAAATCCTAAGGAGGCAGGAAGTAGGCAGTTTTATTTGGGGGGAGGATCATAGGAATTATATTTTTTTGTGGTTTTGTTGTTTTTTTTTTTTAATAATCCAACAGCTTGATTTAATAAATAGCATTGGGTTCCTGAGCTTCATTCATAACCCCTAACCTCCTATGTGACAGTAAGCATGTCACTTAACCAACGTGTCCTACTTTCACCATCTGTGAAACACTTTGGAAAGTGATGGAAAACTGCATCATAGGTCTTTTCCATCTCTATTAGGTCATCCAGCTGTTCATCTGCCAGTAAAAGATTGTTTCCTACATCTACCAGTGTTTTTCCAGTGTGGATCCTATCCTCTAAGTGATTGTTCTTCCACTAGTACCTCTGGGAGATAATTTTGCAGAGTTCTAGATCTCGTTGTCAGGAAGCTCTTCTGGCATTCACAGAAAGAGATTTTTTTGTTGTTGTTATTAATTTAACTGAGTTCTATTACTTTTTCCCCATTTGTAAATAATTGTTTAGTTATAAGTCATACGCAATTCATGATAAATAAAGAGACAAATTGCAAGTGTCTGTAAAGTACCTTATCTATACAAAGACAGAAAACATAAGGTTTTGAGATGCAAGGTATGACCTTTTATAAGAAGGTAAGCTACTTGGTTCTTCCTGAAATTATGTCTAAAGAAGTGTACAGACTGCTCCAGATTTACAACAGAAAAGGGATAGAATATGGAACTTAACAGTGGCATTAAAATGAAGGTATTTGAATAGGTTTCAAGAATGCTTAAGCAGGGAAAGAAAGAATTACAAATACGATATAGTTGTTGAACATGAAAGCTGTCAGAAGAACTAAGTTACTTTGTACAGAATTTTAGCTTTTCAAAATGTGTGGGTATTATTTGGGTCTGGCATAAGAATAGCTAAACTGATTTTAAAATGCCTATCTGGGAAACTACTGGTATGTAACATGATTTTTTGTTGCACTTCCCTAGGAGGAAAATAATGTTCAATTAATTAATTTGATGAGGTTAGTAGAGCATTTTGTAACACAACCTACATAAAGCATGTGTCTTAAAATAGCAAGAAATCGTCATGAAGGCATGTTTCATAAAATATTCAGCTTTTAATAAAATCCACTTGTCCAGGATTTTTGTTCCTCTATTTCAGATGCCAATGCAAATGCTCAAGTCCAGGAATGCAAACTGCATGTTAGACAGTCTCTTTAGAAACTATATAGTATTTTTTTCATCTCAGCTTCATTTTCATTGTCTTTAACTTATATATTCATGTACATTGATAAGATGTGACTTCATCAGAAGATAAGTCAGGAATTGAAGGTCTTCCAAAGTTTATTTGTAGTACAACAATATGGGCAATTGAAATATTTCTGCAAATAAAAGCACTCATTCTGCATACTTTGCTGTTGAAAAATCCCTGTTGCCTTCAGCACTAGTATAAGAGATTAGGTATAAGGTAGTGTTTTGAAAAGGTCAATCAGTATAAATGTAGTGTTTACATACACACCAAAAAATTCACCATATAACAAACTGGTTTTTTTCCTTTAAGAGATTAGGGAAGTGCCATTATTTGAATGTTTATAAGGAAGGTGAACCTTAGAAAGACTTCATATAGTGTGATCATAACAAAAATAAACTTATCTTTCATCTACAGGAAATAAAACCAGATGAAGTTACAAGACTTGCTCTTAGGACAGAAGTTAATTTTGAAAGTGTCTGCAAAAAGGTAAGACGCTGATTTCTGTTTTCCTTCCCCTGCTTCTCTGAGTGTGAAAAGGTTCATATGTGGGTGCAAGTACGTGGATTTGACACAGTGTGTTCTGTTCATTATATTGTATCTTCGTTGTAGATCTTCCTTTTCTGTGAAGGTTTACCCACTGGGACATTGCTACAGAAAAATTAATATCTAGCTAGTATGAATTGTCATTAATCAGGTGGGCTAGTCCAGAGTAACTAGAACAGAATACCAGGAAGCATAGTAGTGATTTCTTAGTCTTTATATTTAGATTTGTTTTGTTTATAGTATATATACATGATATAGTATAAATTCAATTAGTATAAATTAATTTTCAGTTAGTGGAAATAATCTAAGTAAGCTTTCAGCAATGGTTGGAAAAAGGTTCTCAATACTTTTAAATGCCGAGAGAAGTTCCCATGTGTAAACAAAACAGGACAAATATTAGCTGGAAATAAAGGTAGAATTCTAACACCCCTGTGATTCATTAGTTTCAATGTAATGTTTCTCTTGAAGCCTGCTGATAGTACAGTATCATATATTAACAGCCTAAATAGTGATGTCTGTCAGAGATTCAATGAAGACATAGAAGTGCAAAGAGACTCACTGAAATAAGCAGCTGAGGCTGAGAGCAGTCCTATTTCAAAGCATGTTACGTTTTTTATCTCAGAAAGCAATTCTGAGTTTAAAAATGTCAATACATGAAGTTTCATGGGTTTTTTCACTTTATTCATAATTCCTATGGGTGGTCCACTGAGGAAGGCTGAAAACTTGAAATGTTTGTTGTATACAGGGTAATTTTTAATGTAGAATTGGGTCATTCACTCCTGTAATGGCATCATTAGTTTATAATATAACTCTGCTGTTGTATATTACAGTCATGTGTGATGTAGTTCAGTTAATAGCATAGTGTGCAGCAAGTTTTTCAATGTTTTATGTCAGCAGAATTGAGTTAATAGGAAAATATCATAGGAATTTGGTATTTCTGGAGAAGTGTTTGGGTAGAAGCATCCTAACTGTTTTTCCTTTTCTTAGTGATAGAAGAGAGTAAGGAAAAGATCACAGATACACTGACATGAAGCTAAAAAGCATTCTTCTTTTAAATTTATTTGACCAAGATTTTCCAGTGTGAAGATGAGGCAGTCAGGAACTGGTTACTGTGATATTAAAAACTGGGCAGACACGAAGTATGTGAGGACATGTGGAGAGGGATTTCATTCTTGAAGAGGCATGCTAAATTCAGTGACATTTTGTCACTTAATCATAGGAAATTCTTCTGCCAAGATTTCAAATTCTTCAGGCTTACGCTGATTTCGTAAAGTGAAGGAGTACCAAAATGAAATTATGGATGCTATTTTTTAACGGAGTCTGTAGGTTTACAGTTGGAATTTTATTTTATAAGGTGGCAATTGAAAAGAATGCTGAAGGAATTTAATCTTACTTTCACCCCATTATTTTTTATATATTCATAGTCATGACTGATTATGTGCTTCTCATAATTACTTAAAGTGTTAAAATAGGCTTTAATTTAGCTTTAATTCTTGAAAATGTGTAACATCTTGAGTTGTTTTGGGGTTTTGATCTGTTGTCATTTCTGTTACTTTCTGCTGGTGGTCCTGTTTTTCCAGGGAATGGAAGTCTGTTAATCTCACAGTTTTTCGTGGATGAAACTTACATTTCAGATCACGCTGACTGATGGATGCTGATGCTTTTTTAAATCTGTAGAGGATTTTTAACCACACTGGTGTAGAAGACTATGTACAATATGTATCATAACTTCACTGCTCGCTTTTGGTTGGCCATAGCATATCCCCAGCTAAAGAAGGCATACTTTCTGTGCTTAAACAGAAGTTAATTCCCCAATATTTTATTTCTTATTTTCCCATAGTTAGTCATTAAACATACAATAAACAAAATTCTGATTTTCTATCTAGCAATATTCTGTAGTCTCATGAAATACAGACCACACTGTTTACCTTTTGATTAACTTAAGTTTCAAAATATTTGAAGGAAAACATCCTGTGGCTGTTTTCATTTTCAGAATAGGTTTGTTTTCATTGACAAAAGGCAATCTGCTTTTAATTCACTGTGGAATGCTGAATATTAGTTTTGCTTAGTGGTCATGTAGTAAAGATACTTTTTTAATTGCTTCTGCTCACTGAGCTTTTATGTTCCATTACTGTTTCCCAACCTTTTTCAGAATAAATTAAGCATTCTTTTCTGTTTAAAAAGAGTTAGTATATATTTCCGTCAAGTACAATAAAATTGTGCTAAGTGTTTAGCAGGTAGCAGTTTAATGGGAGTTACTGTGATTTAGATTTCTATATGGCTGTATTGATATTAAGCAGATCATATTTGTCTAATTGCAGAGGGTGTTGGCAAGAGCCACCAGCACCATGACACAAGACTTTTTAGAAAAGCATTGCAAGAAGCAGCTGGAACAATTCTTTGTGTATGTTTGCTGAAGTATTTTTAATCCATTTGAATATTGCTGCAGCTAGCACCGTTGTTACCAACGGTGACAAATCCTATGTAAACGGTGATAAATCGTATTGTAAAAACTGTGATAAATGTTACCATGCAACTTTGACTAGGCTTTATATTGTTTGTTCTATTTACAGTTGTTGAAGAACAGAACCTGTATTTTGTAGCTTTTCTCCAAGTCCTTGTGCACTTTTTGTACCAAGTTCTGCATTGTGTGCCACAAATATATTCGACAGACATTAGAAGAATTAGAAAAACATGTCATAGAGCTCATATTTTAAATTCACATTTGCAGCTGTGATGGCATTTTGAACTGTGGCACACAGCATATATTCCTGCAGTGTATGGGAAGCTTGATTCATCAGTGTTGTGCTCCAGGAAATAAATTGGAAGCTAGTCCTAATAATGCTGTTCATTACAAGCAGAAATTTGAACTGAACACTGGCAAAGTCTTAACTGTTATCTTCAGCTTGTTGCTAAGAGAGATTTAGGGTAATTCAGATAGGCGAAGATAGGCAGGATAATTAAGTTAATATGAATTAATGTTTTTCCAGTAAAATGAAATTATAATCTGGGCTGTTTCCTCAGGAAAATAGGACATTGGTCCACCTGCAAACATATTCTTCATAACTATAGTTAGTTTTGTTGCCTTTGCTAGCAGATGTTGCCTAACTTACTGTAGCATCTCATTTAGATTTTCTCCCAGTAAGTCTTTGGTGTATAGCACATAAGGAAGAAATCCCTCTGTTTTAATCACTTGAGAATGACAAAGTTCCAGCATAATGGAACTGTGCTTACAAGCAGTGATATGTCATCTTGTCTTAAGTCAAAATACTTCTCATTTTTTCTAAAGAATAAACTCTATGTGTTTCAAAATTCAGCAACTCTCTGATTTGGGGAGCAGGGTTGAAACAGAAATTAACTATTGTATTTTACTTTGAGTGAAGAATAGAGTAACAATATACATTATGATCAGAGATTGGATTAAGCATGTGTTTCTGACTTGCAGAACAAGCATTCATAGATGATAAATACCACTTACATTTTTTGCTTCCAGATGCAATCTTCACATAACCTTAGGAGCATAATATTCCCTTCTTTCACACTGATTTTTAATCTGTGGTCTTTGAGAAGAATGACACCTTTTCCTATTAAGTCTTGTATTTCTACTTTTGCTCAAATCCTGTTGTATTTGAATCATGCAGATGCTTGTCTGCAAAGAGGATTCTGCACAGCAAATACTGAGTATATTATGATCTTCAGAGCTTTTTGGGACCACATTCTTCTGCATCTCAAGATTTCTGAAGCGCTTGCCACAGTTTCTAAATATGTTTTTAAAAAATTGTAGGCCAGAAATGTAAGCCATTAGTAGCTTTTTGAAGCACTTTTTTTCCCCCTAATTTAAGGTCTGGCAAGCTTGTTTTGGATTGCTTTATATACAGGAACCAACTTTGTCTTGTTTGGAATTTAAAAGGAATTCAAAGGCTTTAGAAATAGGATCTCAGGCAGCTAATGAAAAGCCATAAGGAGACATGCCAGGATTTAACTGAGGAACTGAGTACAAATTATGAGTTTGGTCATTTAAAATCTAAGCTGCCTGATGAGGACAGCTCAGCTTAACATGATTTTGGAGAGTTGACGTTAGTGCTCTGTGGCTTCTGGTACAAGTAATTTTAACAGATGCCCAAAGATACATTACACTTAGAAGTTCTGGGGTGAGTGTATTTAGTATTTCTGGCACTTTACCTATATAGCTTAAATGAACTTGGGCTGGGGGAACCAACCAAAATACTAACAGTAATGTGAAAGGATTTTCTGTGATTTATCAAACAGGACTTTGACTTATTCACATGTGAGAAGAAAATTTCTGTTTCATCTCCCAAACTTCTCCTTGAATTCAGTCAATCTCTGGTGTGGGGCTAAGGAAGTTCAGTTCTTGGGCAAAAAGGATATGAGAAAGAGGTTAGAGAGGTATTTCTGCTCAGGACAGACAGAAAGAAGAATGACAAAGTTACAGGGCTAAATATGTATTAACTTTATTTATTTCAAAAGTGTGTTTCTATCACATCAAAATAGTACTTGTCAGATTCATGTCCATCTTAAATTATGCAGGTGATGGCCTGAGATTAGTCTATCAATTCACAGCCTCTCTGTCATAAGTAAACAAAATAAGAGCAAAGGTGGAGTAGTCATACTGAAAATGTTTTTCACACCAACAGTATGTGAAAGGCAGTTTATGAAAGGCTGCTAGTTTTGAGGCTTTAATTAACAGTGAGTAATTAATTCTGAGCACCAGATGTCCCAGAATAACTCACTAGATGGATACAAGACATTCTTGATGAAGAAATACATGAGACATTGTTCTACTAAATACACTTAGTTATTAAGGAAATTTCAAACTTAATAGTCCTTATGCTTTTGAACTTTGTGGGAGGATAAGAAAGATGTAGTTTCTGAATCAAGTAGAATTTTTAAGTAAACACATCTACATCTATAGAGGAACAGTC